CTGATCGGCTTGCGTTTCTCGCCAGGTGTATATTCATCCCTAGGACGGTCCTGGAAAACACCTTCAGGACGAAGATTGTCTTGAGGCTTTCGAACTTCCGGACGTTCCGCTGTCTTAGGCAAGAAATCATCCTTTGGACGTCCTTCGAAGGGACCTTCTGGCCTCAAATTGTCTTGTGGCCTCTTGACTTCAGGACGTTCAGCCCATTTCGGAGTGAAATCATCTTTCGGGCGACCTTCGAATGGACCTTCAGGTCTCAGATTATCCTCTGGACGCTTGACATCCGGACGTTCGGCACGTTTTGGTGAGAAATCGTCTTTCGGACGACCCTCGAAAGGTCCTTCTGGTCTTAAGTTATCTTGAGGTCTCTTTACGTCTGCTCTTTCACCTCTGGTCGGCTTGTAGTCATCCTTAGGACGACCTTCGAATGGTCCTTCCGGTCTCAAATTGTCCTCTGGTCTTTTTACCTCAGGACGTTCAGCCCATTTCGGAGAGAAATCATCTTTTGGACGTCCTTCAAACGGTCCTTCTGGTCGCAAGTTATCTTGTGGTCTCTTCACATCTGGACGTTCAGTTGACTTCGGTGTGAAGTCGTCTTTAGGCCGTCCCTCGAAGAGTCCTTCGGGTTTTAGATTATCTTCCGGCCGTTTAACATCAGCCCTTTCACCTCTCGTAGGCTTATAATCATCCTTAGGCCTTCCTTCAAATGGACCCTCCGGTCTCAAATTATCCTGAGGCCTCTTCACTACAGGTCTTTCAGCTGTTTTAGGTGAAAAGTCATCTTTTGGTCTTCCTTCAAACGGTCCCTCCGGTCTCAGATTATCCTCTGGACGTTTAACATCCGCACGTTCGCCTCTTGTTGGCACGTAATCATCTTTAGAACGACCTTCGAAGGGTCCCTCGGGTCTCAAATTATCCTGAGGCTTCTTGAATTCAGGTCTTTCAGCTCTTTTAGGCGAAAAGTCGTCTTTGGGACGTCCTTCAAATGGTCCTTCGGGTCTCAGGTTGTCCTGCGGTCTCTTCACGTCCGCCCTTTCACCCCTTGTTGGCATGTAATCGTCTTTCGGCCTTCCCTCGAATGTTCCTTCCGGCCTCAAATTATCCTTCGGCTTCTGCGGCTCCGGTCTCCTGGTTATCGCTGGCACCACGTAGTCGTCCTTCGTGTGGGGAACACCCTCGAATGGTCCTTCTGGTTTCAAGTTGTCATCTCGTCTGAACACGGCGGTACTCCTGGGATATTCAAATAGAACCAAATTGAAAATGCCACGTGAATTCGAAATTGTTAGTAACTGATTATAACAAAACAACAAATATTATCCATGATGTATAGTACAAACGATATTCAACGTTATCTTTGAAGGATTCTAAACTTGTCCTTGAGATATTTCAAAGTTAAGTATGCAATATTTTATCCACCTTTAATCTTCATTTCTCGAAATGTGAGTTAAGAATTTCATTTTACTTTAATGTTTCAGATCTATATCTGGACTGATGTCATCACTAATCACTCTTTATCTAACCCAGCCTTACTTATTAAAGATACACGCTTGTCAAACAGCGGATTACTACTTAATTCCTCAATGAAAATAACTAATCTAATGCATTTCGTACACTGCATCGCATCCTCAAGAGTTCTTAATCTACAGCCTGCAACTTCAAATTAACTCATTCGTTGTCTTTAATGGATCACGAACAATTTTCTACAAAGCATGTAAACAATAATTTCTTATATTTAATAAGCATATCTTCAACAAAGTAGTAACAAAGTTTAAAAATATAATTTGAATTACGATTAAACAAGATTAATAATTCTATTACTATTCAACATAATTAATGAAAATGAACAAAATTCCACTTGCTATTTCATTAAATTTTTCTTAGGTCGCAAAACCCAATTGTGTATATCTTACATATACAGATTGCCGCAAAAGTGTCAAGAATCTGTCATTTCTAGCGCTGCTATGCAGTTTGGTATTTTCTTCAAGTTTCACATTTTTAAGCTTAAAAGGTGCACACAACATAATGGAAAATGTATTAATGTCGAAGGATAATATTTCGAAAAACGATTAAATTATTAGTTCAAGCTTATTTTGGCTTTTCTCATACTTTCCCGAAACTTTTGCAGCAACCCACGTATTTGGCGGAAAAAAGTTAAGAACCACTGCTTTACCTGTAATCCATCTGGTCGAACGTGCGATATTGCTCCTGCGTGGTCGTGGTGCTCTCGACCACGTCGGTCTTACTGTAGAACCGGTCCTCATCCTCATCGCCGTACGTGAGCCGTCGTCGAGGTTCTCGTTCGATCACGTCGTAACTGTGGAAATCCTCCTTGAGATGAGAGGCACCCTGCAGCAGATTTCCAAAGGTTGATTAGCTGATATACCCCGCGATAAAAGTAATTGGAACATCTTTCCCGAATGCATCCCTCGTCCGATAACAAGCCTCTTAGCTATCAGCCCGCGCTCACCGTGAATTCACCCTCTCCCACCGTGAGGTTGTCCGTCCGCTTGACGATCTCAGCACGCTGCACGGTACGATGATCGATGTACTCCGACCTCGTGGTGGTCGCGTCAATGAATTCACCCTCGACCTTCGTGTACGTGTTACGACGAACCGGACTCGGTCGCTCACCGGGCGTTCCGGTGAACACCAGCTCCGTTGTAGTCGTGGCTAAACGAGAAATCGAAATTAGGTACCCTTTAAATTGGAGATAATAGTTTTGTAGACTGTCCAGGCGGTTAGCTACCGACTGTTTTAGTAAACAATGGGTGAGTATTAATAGAAAATGGAACATCAGAGATGTTACTTTGAACACTGGAGCTACCAGATGAATCGAATTGTTCTACTTTGGCTTCCTTGTTCTATAGTTACTAAAAAGATAAGAACATTTTCCTTAAAGGCTTGATTGCTTGGTAGTTCGAGTATCAAACAATCTGAAAGTCAACTATCCAATTTTACATATCTCTCAATATATGTTCAAAATTGATAACCTACACAGACATAGAACCTTCTCGTACAGAAATACTTAAAGATCCACAGAAATCCCAAATTGGTTATCACATCATAAAACACGTGTCTAAAGAATGTTATTAATGATAGAAAGACCTTAGTCATCCTTAACTTTGAAAGCGAATTTATACAGTTTCTACTTCGAACATTTTTATTGTTTATACCTCGTGTCGAAGGTGTAATATTAGCTAACTCACTGTCAAATTCTCCTTCGGGTCTGAGGTTGTCCTGTGGCCTTTTGACCGGCGCGCGATCTCCATATTTCGGCGCCTCCTCTTTTGGCCTGCCAATGAATTCACCTTCGGGTTTCAAGTTATCTTTCGGCTTCGTCACCGGAGCCCTTTCACCCCTGGTCGGCGCCTCCTCCTTCGGCCTACCGACGAATTCACCCTCGGGCTTCAGGTGATCCTGCGGTTTCCTCACCGGTGCCCTCTCACCCCTCGTCGCCACGTAATCTGTCCGCCTCTCGCCGATGAAGTCGCCCTCCATCCGCAAGTGATCTTCATGGTGGTAGATGGTCTGCCTGTCAACACGTTTCTCGTCGAACTCCTCGCGATACGAGCTCACTGCGTGCACAGGCTCACGGGGAATCTCCAAATGGTCCTGCGGAAGGTTGTGCGGGCAACGATGCAGTCTGAAATGGAAAATTTGCCAGGTGCGTATAGTGTTAAGATCAAATATGAAGAAAATCAAATTAGAAATCGATAGAGCTAATTTCAATAGAAGGTCTTTAACGCTGGGATTGCCATGTCACCTAAATTTGAGTGAGAAACTTTTAAAGAAATAGAAGAATTTTCTCGGGACATATCGAACAAATCAAATTTGTTGGACTTATAAGATACAGGATGGTTAACGGAGCAATTTTTGTGAAAAGTCTTAAATGTTCAATGTCTGTTTCGTTAAGGATATAGTTTCAACCCTATAGGATTTCGATGATGATTCGGCAGTGAACGTGTTAATACAATATATTGATTCTGTTCGTTTCGGTATATGTTACATAATTCTAATACAACCTAATTCACTCAGTATGGCACTGTATTCAGTTAATGGAGAATTTGCAATGAACGATCATAAATTTTTGAGTCGCGTGCTTCGCTTATGGAAATCAAGCCAGTGCTATGGCACGGGACTGCCGTAACAATGGCGACTCGAGCTTGATCCCGGTGAACTTCATTCTTTTCATTTCTAAATTCTGTCTGTAATACTTCTCTCACCTTTTTTGTGTTAACCGTGACAAATTGACTACTATTGTACAATCAACACTGTACGAAAGGAAGAAAAATAATACAATTCGTTTAATAATTCGTTTAAATATATCGTTTCCTGAAATGATTTATTAATATTCACATTTTAAAGAAACGCTCATCGATGAGATATATACTGCATTGTACATTATCATTCACAACACGGAAGTACCGTTTCTGATTTAATAAATAATCCTGGGTGGTCAGCACGTAGGCAATAAGATGCTCCTAATTAAATGTCAAAGGCAGTTAAACCATCGCGTCGTCTCAAGAATATTCATGACTCCCGTGCTAGCGGGATAACCGCCGTTAGTCCATTGATAAACTAGCGAGTATAGCGGCCGCAAACGTCACTGCAGTCACGCACGTGATCATTGTCGTGGACCACGGTTCCTAATGGACGCTACGTTTCGTGCGCACCGTACGTTAAGGAAGCCTATAATTGAAACGCATTCGCTACGTCGGCCACGTCTGCACTGAATCATTCCGCTCGTTAAGGAATGAAAGAAAAAAATATAGAAATACATAATTTCCACATTCCCCTTTCTCTTTTTCTGCTTCCTTTCACTCGATCAACGACGATAGGGAAACAAGAATTATGAAAATAAAGGTGACGTCCGTATCTATTTCCATGCCTGACATCTGTCGATTAATTAACAGACAGCTGTTTTACATCACCGAGATTTTTATTAATCGTATCAAGGTAATCGTAGATGGATTAACAAACAGAAACTATATATCGAATGAACAGTTACATTTCGATCGTTATTATCAGCACACCGTCAGATCACACTTTGCCAATTTCTGCTCATACTACACAGATTAACACCTTACTCTACTATTTCTTTACTAACGTTCTACTATTAACAATTTACAAGAATCGCAAAAAAATGTTCCACTTCATTGTAGTAACTGCAAACTTATTTTGAAAACAGTGAATCGATAATAGCAAAATGGTTCTTTTAATTACATGGGAAGGGGTTAAAACTGATTTCTGCATTGTCTAGACTTCTAGAGCTATTAAACGATCATCGCAATAGTTTCGAAGATTAGCCTGTTATCTAACCTCGCGAGCAATGAAGATAAATCTACAATTATAGACTAACAATCGTCAATTAATTCCAAGCAATCGATTCGGTGCAAAGCTCCCTCCCTATTTCTTTATCCCCGTTCTTTTTTCGTCCAGGCTAGATAAGTTGAGTCGACTTTTGCACGCAAAAATCGGCTCTATTCCGACAAGAACGTCATCGGCGGCGGCGGCGACGGCGGCGCTCAACGCGATAACGATGTTTTTAGGCATTCCATCAGTACCGCCGCGCTATTCATCGCTTCCCGATATTGTAATTGGCAATTAACGAGCCGTGGAAACATCGCGGCTGTTACGTGTCCCCGCGACAACACCGTAATCTCCATGTCAATTAGGATCAGCGCCGCTCGCCAAAATGCCTGACACGCTTTCCATTGACCAGCCGAATTTAACAGGAATGGGCTGTCAGTGCCCATGAAAAATTCGACGCACTCGAAAAATTATGAACTTGTCACGTTCGACGAACTCGCACGGAATTCTACGGTGCTCTTGTTAACACGTTCCATGCCACAGGAGATTTTAGTTATATTCTACTTATAAAGTTTATTGATTGTTTAACGCGAAAACTACCGCACACGTGGAAACAACGGGTTTCAGTTTTCTTATTTCGCAACTATTGATACCTTGAAACCGTTAAATATTCGAAAATTTAGAAAATAAATAGCTTCGCTTCAATGTTAATTGTGTTAAATGCTCGGTTGTTCTACTGTTAAGCAAGGTATTAAGTTATATTCGAAGTTTTGGTGACTTTTAATATTATCATATTATTTTATTACGTGTCCGCGATCATGTGTCCGACGAAACATATTTTCTTACAAAAATTGGCGTGAACCGAGAATGACGCACTCGGCACTCAACGTGTTAACAGTTTTCTTTACGATGTTGACTGAAACTTTCCAGCGATTGCACGTTCGCAACGATAAGAATATTTTCGGTGCCATGTATTAAATTGTTTAAATGGCCGAATTAGGGTGCGCCTTGAGTTTGCTTTGGGATTTGTATAGATATTCTTAAGCGATATCACGGTTTTATGATTCTTAATTGTTACTTCAAATCATGACACGTTTTTGATACATTAATAGAATATCTTTCAGCCTGTATTTGAAAAAGTTCAATTTGTATATCGACTTGATTGATGTGACTGTTCCTTGCTTTATGTATCTACTTTGAGAATAATACAACTGTGACGCAAGTATCAAGACTTACTAATGATTTATTTAGAAACGATGATTCACGTGAACAAATTCCATTCTGCATTCTTAATTCATTTTTCATGTAGATTGACCTCTTTTCGGGTTGCATCGTAGCGTTAAACGCGCTGTAGACTCCATTTTCCGCGAAACTGTGCAGCCTTCTTGCGAAAGATGACGAAGGAATGAATGGAGTGCGAGGATCATCGGAAAGATTGATAATGGCACTGCACACACAGTTTTATAGTGAGGTACAGGTATAAAATATGAAGAATATAATACGACCGGAACCTCTGAATGCTTCTCCCGTATCATTGAATCGATCATTCCACTCTGACAAAGATTCTTTTATTTGACAGAGGAACTGACTCTGCGTATTCGCCTCGAAGGAAGCCTATTTCTTCGCTAATCCAATAAACCTCTTGTAAATCACTACTTGGGCAAATAGGTTAGCCTGAGCGTAAGAATATTATAGACAACATGATCGATCTACTAATATCTTCTTTCGGTACATTGAAAAAATTTAGAAATATAGAATTTAGATTGAGTAAAATATTTATAACACACCTTACACGAATAACAATAAAAACCTTATCAGTCTTTCAACAGTTACACTTTGGTTTTTGTTGAATATTCACTATTCATTTAGTTCTAGATTCAATGTTGCGTCTAATCTAATGTAGAATCACTAATCTGATATAAAGCCTAATAGAATTGATTTCGTTTCAAATTTAATACTTCATCAAATCTAACATAAATCAAATAATCTAATATAAATCCCAATAGACTTCATTTCATTGTAGATACGGTATGCCATGTAATTTAATGCCTATAACAAGATAGATCTAATAGTTTCAAATCCTACAAAACAAAGACAGACAAATTTCCACAAAAACACGAAGCGAAAAATCTTAGATTTCTATAAACCAGTGCATTACAGTACGACACTAAGCGTACCAATATTGTACATACTTATTCCTACCATAATCAGCTAACTAACTGCTTCTAAAATAAAGATAAACAAGTTACACGATAAACATTTCTCATGGAAAACAAAAACAGAAGAAAAGGCAAAAATTGGAAACCTGACAACATCGTAATCGACATAAAGTTCATCCTTTAAGGAGTAATATCAACATTTCCGAGACATCAAACTTTCATAACCAAAACACAAAGTCACCAACATATAATTCAATTATTCAGATAACGGAAGATCGATATCCTTTTTACCTTCAGTATTTAAGAGTTTAATATATAATTCATCTTTCCCCAATGAAAGATTCGAATGTTCCAAAAAATGACGGAACGAAAGGTATCACAGAATTTCCAATGATATTTGAAAAAGTTTCAAAGTCATTCGACCGGTCGCGGTGCGTTCAGTGTTAAAGCATTAAAACCGGCGCGATGATTGGAGATGGAGAAGTTTCTTAGAATCTGAAACGCGAGTATCGGAATAGGGTAGTTTCCACTCACGTCGCGAGCCCGGCCGGACCATTTGGGAATTGGAAGGCGGTCAAAGGGCGTTTTCGCAATGGTTGTACTCGCAGGTTCGCGGCACGTACATATCGATGCGCTCGAATGCATCGCCACGGAGCACGGGAACGGGAGAGGTGCGACATGAAAGGCAAAAAAAAAGGGGAAACACGTACGAGGCGTGCACGCCAAATTTCAATGCAGAACGCCGCTTTATTCGGGCTACGAGCCGGCGTGTCCTGTTATTTCGGCTTATCGGGAATATCGGGTTGCCGCGTAACTCTATTCGACCGGGATTTAACGGTGGAAAAAAGGTGAGAGGTATGAAAAAAGAGGAAAAGGAGCGGCGGAACGATACGCGCGCATCTCGCGGCGCTGCTCCGCTCCAGTTTATCCCCGTTCTCGATTAAATCTCGCTGCGGACCACACTTCACGGGATCACGGTCGAGTAATTAACGACACGCGGTTTTCCATTTAAATTGACTCGAACTGGCGCGTGATCCGGCCAGAATTGAATGACAATTACAGGGGATCGGGAAATTTAACAGTACTTCCGTATTATACGCACTACCTTTGTTTTTGAGGAATAAAATGTGATTGGTAAGAGTAATAAAATAAAATAATAAAATATAAATTATTT